TTAATTTTTTCAAGCTTTTCTTCTAATCAATTATCTGTTAATTATAATTTTAAGTTTTAAATAATTGTTCGAATTATGATTGTCTATCGTGTATTTTGTATTATTATATAAAAACATTCTTTCAAAAACTTTTTAAAGAATATTATTAATATATATAGTTGTTAAATTAAGCATTTAAATTGATTTATTAATTCTAATTTAACTATTAAATTATTTATTAAAATAATATTGCCTTTAAATCTTTACAAAAAAAAAAAATAATTTAAATTAATAAAAATTTTTTAAATTCATAATTAATATATATATGTAGAAGATTATATAGAGAATATATTAAAATAATATATATAATAATAATAAAAATAAAATAATATATATGGAGAATAAAATAAAATTTATTTTAATTCAATTTAAACTATTATAACTTATTGTATAACAGGAAAAAAATTACATTTTAAAATAAGTTTGTATTTTTTATTTTATTTTTCATTTCTCTTTTTTTTGCAAAAGTTATATCATTATTACAATATTATTTTATATTTCTTTTAAAAATTATTAGAATAGTAATATTACAAATTTTATTCAAAAAATATTAATTTATATTTCAAGAAATATTTTACAAAATTTTAAAATGGTAATCAACTTTTTTCTATTTTGTATCACTTTATCTACTGAAAGGCAAATAAGTAATATTAAAATTTATAATTAAACATTTTCAATTTTAATTCCTATGTTAATTTTCATTTAAATTTTAAAATCTTATGATTTAGTAATATCAAAATATATGATTACAATTTTAGAAGAAGGAAACTATGTTGAATTTTAAAATAGTAATAAATGCGAAAGTCATAAAAATATTTATGGAAAAAAAAATGAAGAACGATCTATAAGTCAGACCATAGCTATTCGAAGTAACTAGTAATTCACTAGAATTTTGATCAGTCTCTACTTATAACTATTTATCTCTAAATAGTAATCAGAGACTATTACTGGATATTTAGACGTTTGTTCGAATTGCCGAAGAAAAAATTTGCATTTTATACATAGAATGTAAATTATATATGTAGTGAACAATAGCATGTTTCATGAAACACATATTTGAACACTATTACATTTATTTCCTCGTAAATTTTTCATTCAAATCACTTTTATACGATCATTTCTTAATCGGCTAAAAAATTATGTATATATACATATATTTTCTGCATTATTCTTAAATTATTGCTTTTAAATTTGCGCTTCTCTTGAATATATAATAAAATTAGTTTACAATAATACTGAAGAATTTTTAATAAGATTTTGATTTTGTTAATAATCCATGTAAATCTCCTACAAGAAATTAATTTAAGGAACAAAAGAGTTATTCAGTAATATAATGCAATTTCATATTTAGATTTTCAATTAAAAAAATTTTTTTTTTTAATGATGCATTCATTCAACATTCAATGTATTTATTCACCATAAAAAAACAAATTAAACTCGAACAAAAACAAATATGAAAATTATTTATCGCAGATGTAATGATGAAATATTGAAATAAAATATAGAATAGTTAATATTTTATATTTTGCTTCAATCATTCATTTCGAGAATTATATTTATATAAGTATTGACAGCAAGTATCAAAGTAAATTCTCAAATATCCACGATTTTATACAACTAAATTAGATTACTTTTCATGATATCAGATCATATCATTGTATAATTCACAAATCTATCGCTTTTGTTAATTACCAAAATCCTACATTTTTCTAATTTGAAGATACCAAGATAAAAACTTATATCAAGATAAAAACTAATCAACGATTAACTTCCGTCTAGAAAACTTTCTTAACCTAACCTAACCTGTTTTTCGATCTAGAATTATTTGGAACATCACTAATAGTAACTATCCGTTACCGATGATTCAGAATTATTCATAACCGCTTCAGACTTGTCAGAATATCCTGAATCTATCACTATTGTTTCGTCAATCCTATAAAAAGGGTTGATCTTCCTGGTGGTGTTTCTCCAATGTTTTTGCACAATATCCACGTCCTCTTCCATTCTGATTGGACTGATACATGGAGACGGGGTATCAATAGAAATTTGACTAGAAATTGTCAATAAGGAACTGGTTCTTGGAAATTTGTACGGATTAGTTACAGGTATCCAATAAACGTCATCATCATTTTCATCTTGAAAAACTTTTCTTTCGGTTTCCAATGTTTTCTCCGTTATTGAATTTTCATTATCGAATGAATCGTGCTCATAATTTAGATAAAGTGGTTTTCGATCAGTGTCACTGCTGCTATCCGTATCCTTAGGGGAGGTTGATGTAACAACAGATTTCGCTTCAGACTCGCTGAAACTGTCTTCTTCACATAAGAAATTTCTTTTGAACGATTGGTGATAAATTTTAACCTTAGGCGCAATCTCTTTCTCTATGACCTTCACCAGTTGTTTCACATTCTGATTCACTCTAATATTGTAATTTTTACGCGATACCGAAGATTTATTCTCTTTTTCCGTTAAATTTCCCATCATTTCTTTAGCAATAACCTTTTCCTTTTCCTGTTCATATTTATTTCTTATAAGATGAATGACCGAGTTCGGCCGATTCGATCTTTTTCTTTGGAGAATAGAATTCATTTTGCTTGTTAGTGATTCATCTGTCGAAGGAGATGTACTTGCGATTTCCAACTTCTTCGCAATGTCACGAACCATGGATGAAGATTTTGGCATAGTCAAATCGTAATCGTCTTTCAATAAAATTGAATCAATCGATCGAATATTTCTCTTTAATAGCGAATTCTCTTTTTCTGTCTTTAACGGTGTTCTTTTGTAATATTTTATATCTTCTTTGTAATCTCGATCAAAGTTTTCCATCCTTAAACTGGTGTCGAAAATAGATGCTTTTTCTAGCACATTCTTAGACAACTTTTTACATTTAAAAGTATTATCAAGCTTGTGTTGATCATCCGATTCGTTCATAGATTTATTTTCGAAGATGTAAGATTTCTCCAAGATGTTTCGGGAACGGGTCGTTTTCATTTTTGGGCTATCTTCATTGATGTTGGACGAAAACAAGTAAGCTCGAGAGAATTTTGGAGTGGAAGTGGCGGGAATTTTGAAATTTGATTTCACATTTGGCGTTCTTATAGGGGTTGTCACCATGTCGGAAATTTGAATCGCATCGTTCTTCCTTTGCCTACTTTCTCGAGGAGTTTCGCTATTATTAGAATAGTCATTTTTTTTGTTAACGTTAATTTGATTTGTTGACGGTTCAACTTTTGGTCTAATTGGTAAAACAATATTTATATTTTGAACTTTTCTAGAAGGCGACATTTTGGGATAGGTCCCGTAAACGTGTTTGGAAAGCTTTACTTTTGGAATATTTGTATCGAACGTTTTATCCTTTGACAAACAATTTGAACATTGTTTACACATTGTTCCTTTTTCGGGTAATCTTTTCGGATAATAATTTTCATTGTTGATAATTGTTGTTCTAGATGGGACTTTGGGCGCCTTAATTTCTTCATTTAGCTTTCTGTCACCTGATAAGTAATTAAAAATCGTATTGAATTGCTTAGATCCTTAATATTTTTATAAATATAATGAATATAATGAACGCTTTATTTAATTTATTAAATAATAATTTAAATTCGAATTTAAAAATTGAAAAGTATTGAAAATATATAACTAAATAATTTGCAATCAATATAATTAAATAATGATATTTCATTTCAAATTTATAAATAATAAATATTAATAAATACCTAATAAATTCATCGAATACAGCGTAGATTTTTCCTTAAAATTTTTCCAGGATGGTGGACGAGATTCAATCGGCGTAACTTTTATTAATTTCGGTGAATTAAAAGATTTGTGCGACTGCCAGTCTGGAATGGATAACTTTTGAAAAGATCGTTGAACTTCCATGAATTGCTCGTCCTATTCAACAAAAATATAACGAATGTCATAATAATAATTAATAATAATTACATTGATAAAAATTAAGATTAAATAAAACTATGTTATAAAAATTTATCAATATTAAAACTACCACTGATAATCACAAATGGACTAATCACTTTTAAAGCTCGTTTTTTGTTCTTATTCATAATTAAAATGTTAAGAAAAATGTTGAGAAAAAATATTTTAAATAAATTAGATTATTATTCAAAATTATGCATAAATAAAATTAATTTTTTAATAAAAATAATCTCGCGCATAAGATTATTTAAAGAATAATTATACATGATTAAAAAGTATGCATTATAAAATTCCTTTGAATTTCCTTCAAATTCTTCTTATTCTATTGTGCTACTTTATGTGCCGTTGATTAAGAGTAATTATTGATAAATTGAAGAGTAGTAACAATTGATAAATTGTAAATTAATATTTTGATTTGACAATATTAACCATAATTAATATACTATATAATTAATATAATAAATGTATAAAAATATATCACATTGAAGATATAGTGAAGAAAAATAATTTTTTACAAATATATCTAATATTATTATATAAGTATTTTTCTAATAATTAAATTATTTATTCTAATTTCACTCAATAATACTGTAATATTTTAAAAACGTATAAATTAAAAATTCTATTATATTTATATCATACTACATAATTATAAAAAAAAAAATTAGAAACAGAAAATTTTTGGAAAAAAATCAGAAAAGTCCTAAATACTAAATTTAAGATTTTTTTTATATTATTTTAAAAAATAGTATAATTTTTTTTAAACATAATTATAATACTCAATTTATACTTTTTTTATATTATTCCCTATTAATATTCTATTTTAATTATTTTCCGTACCACATATTCGATCCAGGATAACACTTAAGTTTCATATTTACAATCACTTAAATTAAAATGGGAGACGCGATTTTCCAAACGTTAAACAATAATGATAAATAATGACAAATAAAATGATTAGAAACAACTTACATATTCGTCTTCGGGGAATAACATGTTGTTCCTGATCCACGCTGTCGACCTTGCCATTTTCAACACTTAACTAACAATTTAACGTAACGTGACACGAAACACAAACTCTCATGAGCAAATGACTTACCAACCCTCGTACACCTATTTATATATTCGCTAGGTACGTACCCCTACTTCCGTGAAAAAAGGACTCAGACGAGGGTATTCCTACTTTATTATGTACAGTTAATACCTGCTTAAATTCCTTCACTATTGTATCTCCTAAATTAAACGACTTAACCCCACCATTTCCCTCAACCGCTCAAAAACACGAGCTCAGCGTGTTAACCCAAACATATTGATGAAGATCGTGAAGACAGACACGATGAGGGTAGATGTGTACGCGTAATATTTAAAATTAAATATCCGATTGCAGAAATCGAGTGGTAATAAATCGGTGGATCGAAATTGATGGAAATTGTTTTAAAAATTAATTTAAATGCGATATAAATCGGATAAATTTTTTCACCTCTTTCTTCTAACAAATTAATTTATCAAAAGTCATTTAGTTTAGTTATCTAAAAAATTTCGTAATTATTCATAGAGCCGTCGTGGAGATCGATGTTTTGAACAACCATAATTTTCGAGATGTGTATCATTGTAATCTATCTATCTATCATTGTCCAATTTTGTCCAAGAATAATTGTCTTATTCTCGTTATTCATTACGGACAGATGCTAAGCATGATGTTGGATCATCCGTTATACATTTATTTCGATGCGAACTGTTGTGATGTGTGTACACAAACGGTTTGATCAGTGACAGTCGCATGCCGATACACGTATTGCCACGGACGCATACGTACGGACCAGATTCTATAATTTGCGTAAATAAATTTCCAATAATCGTATTTATCATTGATTGTCGTTGACATGAAACAAATTATGATCCACCTTCATTAATTATCCTTTTCTATATTTCATAAAATAAAAAAAGGATACCTCCGATAAAAATGATTATTATACATATTCATTCGATTTATATCGTGTCTGTCGATCATTTCTGTCAAGAAGAATCATGTAGATTTCTATTGTTATCGTTTCTAAGAAAATAGTGCGTACTTGTGCTTAACATGTTTCTCTCCTTTCTCTACACCTATTAAGAATCTTGAGGATCCTTGTCAAAGATCTTGAGCTTCGAGTATTCACATTCTTTAAACATCGCTACCTGGTCCGCGTTAATTACAATATTTACAATGCGACCTGCGCCCGAAATTTAAAATCCGGAATTATGATATACGGTATAAGGATTTTAATGGCCTTGTACCTGGTTTAAACGATGGTTTATTGATTCTTACGGTAAAAGTTTTATTACCTGAAGAAAAAAAGTGAATTACTTTTCGAAGCTTTTTTTACTGGTAAATTTCAAATGTTTCAAAAATATAAATTTAAATTTTCGAAATTTCGAAATCTTCACGCGAGATTTCAAGAATTAATGCGATTTAATAATATGCAACATATGTTAAGGTTTAATGGAAAAAGAAAAAAAAAAAAAAAGAAAAGAAAATGGGTTTTTATATTATATTATAACGTAAGTATATTTGTGTTTATAGGGTATATTAAGCTAAATGTGAAAATTTAACTCATTGCAAAAGGGAAAAGTAGCATTGAAGTGGAGAAAAGCTTCTGGTACGTGCAGGATAATTCTAAATAATAGTGTTGGTCCCTTGTCTGCGTTGAAATGGTCAAGGATAGAAAATGCAATAAATTTTTGCAAGAAATTTAAGTATCCTTGCAATTTCGGCGTAAATTTATTATCCCCTTGTATGCAAAATCAATATTTTCCTATTAATATATATATATATATATATATATATATATATNTA